AGTCGAGTGGCCCGTATGCAGAGCTTGTTGGCTGCCTCATGTACCTGATGACCTTCACACGACCTGACCTTGCATACCCTCTTAGCATTCTTGCACGCTATGTTGCTCCCGGGAGACACAGACCGGAGCACATGGCTACAGCGAAAAGGGTGTTGCGCTACTTGTGCAGTACGTCGGGCATGGGGCTTGTGCTTGGAGGGCAGAGTCCAGTGGTTCTCAGTGGGCACACAAACGCTTCTTGGGCTGACGACCAGGCTATGCAGCGGTCGTCACAGGGTTACACCTTCAGCCCTGGTTCCGGCTCTGTTTTGTGGCGGGCTACCCGCTCGTCTTCTATTCTTGGCTCCTGTTGTGAGGCTGAGATCTACGCTTGGGCCATGGCTGCACAGGAGCTTTGCTGGCTCACCTACCTGCTGACTAACCTCGGAGAGCCGCCTCGTTCTCCTCCAGTCCTGTACGTAGACAATAAGGCCATGCTGGCCTTGTATCGAGAGCAGAGCGCCTGGAGCACAGAACGAAGCACATTGCTCTCCGCTACTTCCTTGCTCGTGAGCTACAGCAGCGTGGTCAGCTGCGGCTTGCGTACGTGGCCTCTGAGGCCAACATTGCTGGTATCTTCACCAAGGCACTTGCGCCTTGTGATCATCAGCGCTTCTGTACTCAGCTGGGTCTTGTGCCTACCTTGCCTCACTTGCTCACTCCTTGACCTTTTTTGTACTGTTGCATATATATTTACACCTGCTCTTGCTTGTCTAGCCTTATATATATATGTAATCCTGCATGTGAACTGGCCTTGTGGCCTTGAACTTGTGCTCGGAATGTGTGGTGACTTTGTGATCCACCCTGAGCTTGCTTTGCTTTACTTTGCTTGACTGGTCTTGTGACCCCTTGTTCTCCCCCACTTTGCCTATGGGGGTGTGTCAGAAAATTATAGCTTATACATTAGTGTAGGCTGTAGTGGGGTAGCCCATAAGGGGTACAACCTAATGAGGGTTAGTACTTGTACCCAACTCTTTCTTAGTCCAATCATTCTCATTCTTTTTCTCATTGCGTGCTTATGCGCACTTGTGATTATCTATTCTAGAAGAGCGTGTTCCCGAAGGTTTGGATTATCTTTTGTGTCTATGTATTTCTGAGTATAAATACGCCTTCTACTCACCTTTAGTGCAAGATTCTCGAGTGGAAATTCGATCTTGTGACAGAGAGGTCATGATCAATCGCGACCGCTTAAGGCAAGGATCCGGCGGTGCCAAGGAGTGCCCCATAAAAATATAGCCGCAAGGAACAACTAGCTCGTTCTCATGGCTGACCTACGCAAAACTCATGGACCCCATTACATCCTTCCTTGTCCCCCCCCCCAAGGGGTAATACACCAAAAAAGCGGGGTAGGCTATACAAGTACCTCTGATACCAGGTGTTAAGAATGAACTTGTAGAGTGCGCCGATAAAATGAATACGAGATTGTGAAACAACAGAATGCATACAATAAAAAGGTGACGGGATTTAATAAGGCAAATCATAGGTAGGTGAGGACGTCGGGCCAAGGTGGCTCAGAAATGATTGCGATTTGTGGGGGGGCGACTCGGGTGTGGGTTGGGTGCGGAATTGTAGGCAGAACCATCTGACGCGTGGCCCTCGGGTTTTACTCGCTAAGGTGCGAGTAAAGTGGCACATGGTTGAGCAAAGTAGAATATGAAGTAATAGTAAAATATTATGAAAATATATAGCTAATATCAAACCAATCTAAGAGTTATGACATGTTACGAGTGCAATTGAGTGAGCGAACGAGGATTGCACTATCGAAGCAAGAATACAATAAGCGAAGGCATGAGCGAAGAAGATATAGCGAAACTACAGTGGAACCAATAATGTGTGAAAAATGGGGTGCGCGATGGGCCTAGCGCCGAGGTTGCGAAATGTCGAGCGCAGGTCCTGAGCACGGGCTACCAACCGAACCGTGAGGTTGGGTTGCGTCGTGAACAGTGGCAGGAACAGTGTCGAGGCGAGTGTCGCGAGTGGTAACGGATTACTGTTGAGTGCTGTTGGCGTGGACAGTGGTGTACGCGCTGAGCAGGGACGCGAAGTAAGGAAAAGGAATTTTCCTTACACTACCCCCCCCCCCCCCCCCCCCCCCCCCTAAGGACACCCTCCTTACGAAACTGCATGTACGTACCGGAAATTTCAACTGCGCAGATACTCGGTGAGGACGGGGTGGTTTTCAATTCTGTCCAGGGGAACCCAGCTGTCTTCGGTGGGCGTACGGTCTCTCCAGCGGATCAGAAACTCGATCCTTCGAGCTCCCCGTGGTTCACGAACTCGGTGGCTCAGAATCTTCTCGGGCGTGATGATTGGCCCGGTCGGTAGTCGTGTCATGCTGGCTGGGCGGTTGCAAGGCAGTTAGCTGGTGGATGGTATGTGAAGAAATGAGGAATGAATGAACTAGCAAGCAGGTGGGTACAAGTAGGAAAACCTAGAAGTGTTGTACCCCATATTGTGTATCCACTAGAGCCTACACAGACTGTAGCATATGAGTTTCACACACCCCCATAGGCAAAGTGGGGGAGAACAAGAGGTCACAAGACCAGTCAAGCAAAGCAAAGCAAGCTCAGGGTGGATCACAACGTCACCACACATTCCGAGCACAAGTTCAAGGCCAGAAGGCCAGTTCACATGCAAGATCATATATAAAGGTAAACAAGCAAGTGCAGGTATAGAAAGATCACAGTACAGGCAAGGTCAAGAAGGGAGCAAGTGTGGCCAAGTAGGTACAAGACCTAGCATCATACAGAAGCGCTGATGATCACAAGGCGGAAGTGCCTTGGTGAAGATATCAGCAGTGTTAGCCTCAGAGGCCACGTAAGCAAGGCGCAGCTGACCACGCTGCTGCAGCTCACGAGCAAGGATGTAGCGAAGAGCAATGTGCTTCGTTCTGTGCTCCAGTCTGTGCTCCCGACACAAGGCCAGCATGGCCTTGTTGTCTACGTATAGAGCTGGAGGAGAACGAGGCGGCACGCCTAGGTAAGTCAGCAGGTAGGTGAGCAAGCGTAGCTCCTGTGCAGCCATGGCCCCCGCGTAGATCTCAGCCTCACAGCTGGAGCCAAGAACAGAAGACAAACGAGTAGACCGCCACGAAACAGAGCCGGAACCAAGACTGAACGTGTAACCCTATGACGACCGCTGCGTAGCCTGGTCGTCAGCCCAAGAAGCGTCAGCGTGACCTGTGAGGACCACTCGACGCCGCCCTCCAAGCACTAGCCCCATGCTCGACGTACTGCACAAGTAGCGCAACACCCTCTTCGCTGCAGCCATGTGCTCTGGCCGGTGTCTCCCAGGAGCAACATAGCGTGCAAGAATGCTAAGAGGGTATGCAAGGTCAGGTCGTGTGCAGGTCATCAGGTACATGAGGCAGCCAACAAGCTCTGGGTACGGGCCACTCGGCTCTACGGACTCATCCGAAGGCAGAGCTGAGAGCGAGTGGCGAGAAGACAGAGGAGTGGCCTGAGGCAAGGAGTACGTGAAGTTGAAGCGCTGAAGGACCTGCTGCACCATGTGTGACTGAGTCAGGGTTGGTGCACTGTGCTCTGTCCCGGGTGATCTGCAAGCCAAGGTAGCTGCGCAGTTCCCCCAGGTCTTTGCACGTGTGTCTCTTCGGCAGCTCGGACTTCACGTGGGCGAGTCCAGCAGTGTCAGCAGTGGCAAAGACCAAGTCGTCGACGTACACGAGGATGTAGAACGGCAGCAAAGAGGTGTCGGTGCGCAGAAACAGCGACGAGCCGGCAGTAGAAGGAGCAAACCCAAGAGCCGCAAGTGTAGTCCTCAGTGTGTTGTGCCACTCACGGGGCGCCTGGCTAAGACCGTAGACTGGCCGCCGGAGGCTCCACTGGGTACCAGGGGGAAACGACCTAGTGAAGCCAGGTGGGCGGCGCAGCCAGATCTCCTGGTGCAGGCTGCCCTGCAGGAAAGCTGTGATGAAGTCAAGAGAGTGAAGCTTGTAGTCGCGCTGAGCGGCTATGTGTAGCAGCACCCAAAGAGTGGTCATCTTCAGGGTGGGAGAGAATGTCTGAAAGTAGTCAACTCCCTGCTGCTGACTGAAGCCTCGAGCCACGTAACGCGCCTTGAAGACAGGCGGAGAACCCGGCGGCCGCTTCACCCTAAAAATCCATATGCCACTGACGATGATCGCCCCAGGTGGGGGAACCTCGTCGAGGTAGGTGCCTGTGGACTTCCAAGAAGCCATCTCTGCGTCCATGGCTGACTGCCACTGTGATGAGTAGGGACCCTCGATCGCCTCAGCGTACGGTCGAGGAGTCAGGATGTCTGGTGCATCCGAGTCTCCCTCAAGGGCAATCAACGTGGACACGAGATGAGGCAAAGCAGCACCAAAACACTGGAACTCCTCCTGCCTGTCCTCAAGGACGTCCGTGCTAAGAGCACACTCACCCCCGACGGACGGAGGACAGTGTTGGATGCACGTCATTCTGAGTGCATGTCATCCTAACGTCCTGCCGAGTGCTCGTGCTATTTGTGCTTGCATGATTTGCATGAGCATATGTCATTATGCGGCTGCTGGACGTTTTTACTTGGTTCTCACTCTATAGACCATCTTAACGACTGATTTTACTTGGAGATGGTAGCTAAGTCTAAGGCGCAACTTCCTTTGAGCGGATTTGCGTTTAGTTGAGTAATGAGCTCGTCGTAAGCTCTCAAAGTGTCGGATCCTGAACAACAAGTGGTATCAGAGCGGGTAGTCAGCTTTGAGACAACGAATCGTCGTGAGTTCTCAACTAATGATGTCGAGTGAGACCATTTTCTAGTAGTTCTGCTTGCGAACTTTCGATTGGTGGTCAAACCGCGTTTTAGTTCGAAGTATTGAGTCCGCGACGGCGTTTTTCGTAGAATCGAAATTTCTGGCAGAATTCTCTCCAAACGATTTCTCAAGTTTCCACCGTTCCTAAGGCCTCAGTTTGGTTGGTACGAACTCCGGAGGTGCTAGTGGCGAGATGGATAGAAGTAGAGAGGTTGGAGAGCAAGGGGGAGTTGCTGGTCGAGGAGTGGGGACTCACCAACCAGCCAACCCTATGCTACCTACGTCTACTACACCATCTCCAACAACCGTGGATCCCGTGAAGGCGTTCTCTATTGAGAGATTCATGGGGGAGGACTACGAGCACTGGAGCTTCCGCATGAGGCTGATGTATACCCAATACAAGCTATTAGATCTGGTGGAGGGGAAGGAGAAGATGTCGGAGACCGCGGAGCTGAAAGGAGCGTGGATGAAGCGATCGTTCGATGCGTACATGCTCATGGTGCAAGCGGTTGGCGGACGACAACTTGACCACATCAGGGACCTCTTGGGTGATCCAGAGTGTGGCCCCAAGGCTTGGAGGAAGCTTCTGGATGTGCACTCACCGTCACATGCTACCGGCATCGTGCTACTCGCGCGGCGGCTGCGCGACATCAAGTTCGTTGATGGAGAGCCGATGCAACCGGTGTTGGATGAGATGCAGGACATCTTCACGAAGCTCCAAGGAGGCGGTGTGGTGTACCCGGAGCTCGTGCAATGCGTGGATTACATTCGCGTGCGCATTTTAGAGGAGGACTTGCGGCGGCGGAGTGTGGAGCGCTCGGAGGAGGGGGCTGGCTATGGAGTTGGAGGTGGAAAGAGTGGCTTCAAGAAGAAGTGGAAGGGCAAAAACAAGGACAACCCTAAGGAGGATGGCGGCGGGGGTCAAGGGGAGGTGTGCTTCTACTGCAAGAAGCGCGGACATCGTTGGCGGAAGTGCTACCAACGACCCAAGAATTGGACCCCGCCTTCATTGAGCAACCTGCATGGTGGCAAGAGGATTGGGGGAGTCATGGGAGCTAGTGGAGAGGAGAAGGAGGAGGAGAAAGGCGGCAAATCTGAGGAGCGGAAGGCCGGGTTCTTCTTTTTCGTGAACGAAGGCGCAACCGGCCTCGCTATGGCTGCCAAGGTTCTTCTACACCCTCTCACCCATTGGGTGATTGACTCGGGAAGCTCCTGGCACATGACTCCTCGTGCGGACCTACTCGATGAGATTCAGCCCGCACCTATCTCTACGGTCACATCCACGACGGGCGCCAAGGCCAAGGTCATGGGCATGGGATGCGCCAAGTTCATGGGAGCGGATGGAGAGCTCGTGGGGCTGAAGAATGTGCTGTGGGTGCCGGACTTGTGCGCGAACCTGATTTCTACCGGCCGGTTGCGAGATGCGGGTGTGAACACCGAGACGATTGGCTCGGAGCGCTATCGTGCTTACAACGATGAGCGCCTCATTTGGGACCTGCAGTGGAAGGGAGATGTCCACAAGCGGATGTGGCAGATCCCGGTCCTCCCTTGGCGGAAATCGGGCAAGGCGGCAGCGGCGGCATCTATGGAGGAGAGTGTCACCGAGGAGGAGCAGCAAGGTGTGCAAGGAGAGGAGCTGATTGGAGGAAGCGCGGTGGTGAAGGCGTCGACTACCTCGGGCCAAGCGGATTGGGAGACTTGGCATCGGCAGCTCGCACACTTGGCTTTTTCAACACTGGAGGTGATGCATAAGGAGAAGTGCGTGCATGGGCTGCAACTGCAAGGAGATGGCGCTCACTATGGCAGCTGCGAGGCGTGCATGCAAAACAAGTTTGCGCGGTTCCCGTTTCCACGTGCGGAGGGATCAGCGAAGGCGCCGCTGGAGGTGGTGCACATGGACCTGGTGGGTCCTATGAGGATTGAGGGGACTGGGGGAGTGCTGTACTTCCTTACCATGGTGGACGAATGGAGCCGTTTCACGTGGGCGCGTCCCTTGTCCAAGAAGAGCGATGCTACAGCGGCGATCAAGGAGGATTGGTTGCCGATGGTGGAGCGGCAAGCGATGCGGCTGGTGAAGGTGATGAGGAGCGACCGAGGTGGAGAGTTCCTTGGAGCGGAATTCACCAAGTTCCTCAAGAGAAATGGCATCCGACATCAGCTGACCTGCCCTGGAACACCGCAGCAGAACGGCATTGCTGAGCGTGCCAACCGGACCATTGGCGAGGCGGCTAAGACCTTGTTGGGGGCTGCTGGGATGCCCTACAAGTTTTGGCCTGATGCCGTTTGCCATGTCATCACGGTCAAGAACAGGGTCTTGACTCATGTTGGCGACAAGCATTGGGTGCCGTACGAGCGTTGGCTTGGGAAGAAGCCATCCATTGACATGCTGCGGGTATGGGGCTGCATGGGGCTTGTGATGGTGCCTAAGGAGCAGAGGCACAAGCTGGAAGTTGCTGCTGTGTGGGTTGTCCATCTTGGGATGGCTCCTGACTCGAAGGGGTGGCTGATGTGGGACCCCAAGAGCAAGAGGACGCTCGTCAGTCGTGACGTCAAGTTTTTGGAGGACGTAATGTACAAGGATTGGCAGCAGCAGCAGCAGCAGGTGCATATTGGTTTGCGTCTGCAGGAGATTGAGCGGTCTGCAGTGGAGGAGGTTCAGCTGCACCTTGAGGATCTCCCTGGGTCAGAGCTGACCAGTGACCACAGTGGCGGTGGTGAGCAGCAAGTTTCTGGTCCTGCTGGAGAGGAAGGGTTGGAGGATGAGTCGGCACGTGTGGACTCACCATCTCAGCCCGAGCTTGCAACAAACGCCAAGGTCACCAAGAGGAGTGTGCAGAGAGGAGCTTCACCACATGGGCAATAGATTGCAACCCGCGAGAAGAGAGTGGCAGCAGCACCCTCAAGGCTGAAGTATAGCCGTTTGGGAGGACCCAAGCAAGGTGCCATGGCGGTTCAGGCAGATGAGGGAGAGGATGAGGAGATGGCGTTCTGTTTCTTCACACCCTTGCTTGGAGAACCAGCCACAATGGAGGAGGCAATGAGTCGACCCCAAAAGGAGGAGTGGAAGGCTGCCATGGATGCGGAATTCAATAGTCTCATTGAGAATGGGACTTGGGAGCTTGTTGAGTTACCCGAGGGGCGACGGCCGATCAGCAGCAAGTGGGTCTTCAAAGTGAAGAGTGGTGCTGATGGTGCGTTGGAGCGGTTCAAGAGCTGCTTGGTCGCCAAGGGGTTTCAGCATAAGGAGAAGGTCGACTTCGGGAAGATCTTCGCTCCCGTTGCTAAGCCAGTAACACTGAGGACTTTGATGGCTGGCGCAGCTGTGAAGGGATGGCACGTGAAGCAGATGGATATCACCTTTGCGTTCCTCAATGGAATACTGCTGGAGGATATCTACATGGCGCAGCCCGACGGCTATGAGGATGGGACCAGCTGGGTATGCAAGCTTAAGAAGGCCATCTATGGCCTTAAGCAAGCGCTCAGGTGTTGGTACAAGAAGCTAGAGGAGGTGCTGCTAGGTGGAGGCTTCAAGACGTCCCAGGCGGATCACAGCTTGTTTCTGCTTGGAGAGGGGGAGCAGCTGCTTTTGCTGCTGGTGTATGTCGATGACATACTGCTGTTCTCACCTTCCATGGAGCAGATTGAGAGGACACAGAAGCTGCTGATGGACAACTTCAAGTGCAAGATGCTGAGGGATGTCCATTACTACTTGGGGCTGCAGATTGAGAGGGATGTTGAGAGGAGGTGGCTGAAGGTGCATCAGTCACACTACATCTCTGGTGTCATGGAGCGGTATGGTGTGACTGGGGGTCGCACTGTGATGACACCGTTCCCTGCAGGCTTCAAATTGAAGAAGGCAGCTGAGGAGGATGATGTGCTCGAGGATGAGCAGTAGAATGAGTACCAGTCACTCATTGGGAGTGTGATGTATGCAGCTGTGCGTACGCGACCTGATGCTTCATTTGGAGTGGGGCAGCTGGCCAGAGTTGTGCAGCGGCCCACTGAGGAGCAGTTGGAGGTGGCAAAGCGCTTGGTGCGCTACCTTGGATCAACGGCATCTGCTGGTGTTCAGTTTTCAGCTGGCGGCCAGCTGAAATAGATTGGAGCAGATGGGGTCACGCCTGGAACCTTGAAGCTGTCGTGCTTCACCGACGCCACATGGGCCTCAGAGGATGAGGATCAGTCACCGGTTGGTGGCTTTGTGTGCATGGTCGAAGGTGGACCGGTGAGCTGGAGGTCCAAGAAGCAGAGTGAGATTGCTCAGTCTTCCGGAGAGGCAGAGTACATGGCGATGTACCATGCCATCAAGGAGATCGTGCTCCTGAGAAAGCTACTGGAGGACATGGGAGCAGAACAGGAGGGACCTACACCACTTTTCTCCGACAGCGAGGCTGCTATTGGCATGGCAAATAATCCTATCCTCAATGGGCTGAACAAGCACATGAAGATTAAGTGGCATTGGGTGAGGCAGATGGTGAAGGAGGGGATTGTTGAGCTTCACCATGTGAAGGCTAGTAAGCAGGCGGCAGATTTTCTCACCAAGAGACTTCCCGAGAGCGCACATTGGAAGTGTGCTAAGATGTGTGGCATGGCATTGCACTAGTGTGGGCAGAAGTGTCATGAGTGCATGTGTGATTGTGTGCATGAGAGTTAGCATTTGTGTGAGTATATGTGCATGCAGTCTGTTAGTCTGAGGGGGAGTTTGTTGGATGCACGTCATTCTGAGTGCATGTCATCCTTGTTAAAAACTAAGGACAGAGTCTATGAAGATTAGGTGCCCAAATTTTTTAAAATCGTTGGTCTCAATTTCTGGACAGAAACGTCGACTTCACAAGAAACGTTGTCGACAAAAGATGCACAATTAGAATCCCACGAAATTCGAATATGTTGTAGCCCTAGACCGTGGCTACATTTCCCAATTTGAATCGTATCAAATTATGAAGCATATCTCGAGTTATACTTTTCGGCGCACTAGGGGGTATGCTGCCACAGAAATTTAACTCGATCACAATTAACTCACAAGTCCCACAAGAGAACATTCGAGTAGCACTAAACCTGGTAGGAGGGGAAGAGGAGGACGAGAGGGAAGGTCCCAAGAGAGAGTCTCCAACCAAGGAAACCCCATGCCACACAATTCCCTTCCCCATAGGCAACAAACTTTGACCTTTGTCACTTTCCAACCCATGCCATCCACCTCACCACAACTTGGCCACACTTACCAACCTGGTTTGGCTTCACCCAACCTCTTGGCAGCATCTACAGTGATGGGTTCGAATTTCCCAACCCCCACAAGTCTGTACCCCATATTGAGTCAATGCCACAACTTCCCAAAGTAGCTGCAACCAAAATATATAAGCATACGAACTCCAATGTTCGTAACTTTCTTGGTTGTGCTCCGATCGCGACGATTCATGGTTCGTCGGAAAGCTCTTGAGTAGAGGAATCACTTCAGATATCTGCTCAAGCCAAATAACATACACACACACACACACACACACATACACACACACACACACACACACACAGAAATCCAAACCACACAAGACACAAATTTCTTGCACACGCTCACACCACGCATGCAACGCACAAACACATGATGGGAGGCAGACAGACGTGAATGCATATGGTTGCATCACACAACAAACTCCCCCTCTGGCTGCCAACCATCATCCCACATGCCATAACTCAAGCATGCACCCTCAATGCACACTCATTCCCGCAAGCTTCATGCCCTTCCAATGCTCAGGTTCTGCCAGGCGCTTGGTGAGAATGTCAGCCGCCTGCTGCTGGGTCTTCACAATCTCCAGCCGCACCTCCTTGTCGAGGAGCCTCCTTGTGCAATGCCACTTTGGCCTGATGTGCTTTGTCAAGCCATGAAGACAGGCATTCTTCGCAAGCTTCACCGCCGACTCATTGTCACAGAAAATCACAGTCGGCTCCCTTTGACACACTCCGATTTCCTCCAACAAACGCCTCAGCCACACCACCTCCTTTGCCCCATGATGCAGGGCCATGTACTCTGACTCACACGAGGATAACCCCACCTCGTTCTGCTTTTTGCTGCGCCAGCTCACTGCACCACCTCCAAAGAGGCACACATAGCCTCCAATGCTGGTGCCATCCGTCTTCACTGAGTTGAAGCTACCGTCGGTGTAGCAAGTCAAGCGCATCTCCCCCTTGCTCAAATCAGCTGCACCCCTCTGTAGCCTCTGTCGCACAGCACTGTACTCCAAGCCCACTGATGCTGTAGCGCTCACATAGCGGACCAACCTCTTGGCCGCTTCCAGCTGCTCATGACTTGGGCATGAAACCACACTCGCAAGCCTGGATGTAGCAAAGGCAATGTCAGGCCGCGTGTGGTTAGCCGCATAGTTGAGTGCCCCCACCATGGAGTGAAACAACTTCCTGTCACTCTCCCCCACCACCTCCTCATCAGTACAGGGCTCCACAGTGAACCCCAAAGGCAGCGGGGTGGCTGGCTTTCCTGCATCTTGCAGCCCATACTTCTCAGCCAGCCCCTCACAATACTTCCTCTGGTGCAACCTCAACACTCCCTTGTCAAGGTCCCTCTCCACGTGCATCCCAAGGTAGTACTTCACATCTCCCATCTTGGAGCACTTGAACTGCATTTCCAGCATCTCCTCCACACGTTCAATCATCGCAGACGACTCAGAGAAGAGCAGGATGTCGTCCACGTACACCAGGAGCATGAGGAACTGTTCCTTCTCTTGCAGCAGGAACAGGCTGTGATCACACTCGCTCTTCTTGAACCCCCCGGCCAGCAGTGTCTCCTCCAGCTTGTGGTACCATGCGCGAGGAGTCTGCTTCAGGCCATAGATGGCCTTCTTGAGCCTGCACACCCTGCTGCTCCCATCATCCAACCCCTCAGGCTGCAGCATGTACAGCTCCTCCAGAATGATTCCATTAAGGAAGGCAGTGATTATGTCCATCTGCTTGATCTTCCAGCCACGGTTTGCAGCCATTGCCAACATCGTCCTCAGCGTAGTGCCTTTCCCCACAGGAGCAAAGATATCATCAAAATCCTTCCCCTTTGTCTGTTGGAACCCCTTAGCCACAAGCCTTGACTTGTAGCGGGTCAGCTCCCCATCAGGTCCGTACTTGTGCCTGAAAATCAGCTTGGAAGAAATGGCCTTCTTCCCTGGAGGCAGCTCACACAGCTCCCACGTCTCGTTCTCCAGCAGAGAGTCATACTCCTCCTTCACACTCTGCTTCCACTTCTCAGCATCAGGCCCACTCAAGGCCTCGGTAAGTGTCTTGGGCTCAGGGACAGCTGCCCAGTAACAGTGCGCTATCTCCTCCTCATCACACTGCTCAGCCACACTTCCAGCATGCTCCAAATTTTGTGAGCCAGTGCGATTATAGCTCAGCCTAATAGGTGGGCGTATATCCCTCCTAGGACGCTCAAGCGGGCGTGGGGCACATGGTGGAGCACGTTGCTGCTGCTGCTGTTGATGCTGCTGCGGCTGCTGTTGCTCCTCCACTGCAGGTTCTCCCCCATCCTCAGTCACCCCAGAGATCTCCTCCTTGGAGATATAAACCTCCACTTGCCTTGAGGGCCGCTGCAACTCATCGGCCTCAATGATCAGAGGTGTAGTAGGGAGCTTCTGCTGCTGCTGCTTCCACTCCTTGTAGTACAAGGACTCAAGGAACTTCACATCCCACGACACAGTCAGTTGCTGGCTGGTCAAGTCCCAAATCAGCCATCCCTTGTGATCCTTAGCAAGCCCCAAGTGCACACCCCATCTCCCAGAGGCTTCCAGTTTTCCCCTCTTCTCCTTAGGTACATGAAAAACCACCATGCACCCGTAGGCTCTCAGCATGTTCACCGTTGGTGCACTCCCA